AGTTATATCATCTTCAGATAATAAGAGCAAAGCGGTGTGGAATGTTGTGAAGTCTGAACTTGGAGTCCTGAATTCCAATCATTTGGATTTCCCTGATTTGTGTGTCGGAGACAAGCAATTAAAAGATGGACAAAATGTGGTAAATTTTCTCAATGATAAATTTTGTAACATTTACAAAAATATAAATTGTATGCCTTGCTTACACACTGCAACTAATTTGATTAATAATACTAGTAGGCCTAATAATATAAGAATGAAATTTCAGTTCAGACATGTATCGATTTTAGAAATTAAAAAAACCGTTAGAAATTTAAAAAATAAAAAATCTTCTGGATGGGATGAAATTCCTATTGAATTAATTAAAAATGTCATAAACCATATTGCAGAGCCTCTGTGTCTAGTAATCAATCAATGTTTTGATGAAGGAATTTTTCCCTATCAATTAAAAAATGCTGAGCTGAAACCACTTTTCAAAAAAGGCTCAGTAATGGACCCTGATAACTATCGTCCTATTTCAATACTCCCATCTTTGTCTAAAATCTTTGAAAAAATTGCTTACAACCAAATCTATTCATATTTCGAAAATAATGATTTATTTACCAATAAACAATATGGTTTTAGATCTGGGAAAAACACTATATCTGCTGTCTCAGACTTCATAAATCAGGTTTCTGATGGCTTGGATGGGTCTCAGAGCACAGCTGCGGTGTTCTGTGATCTATCCAAGGCATTTGATTGTGTAAATTACAATATATTAATGAGTAAACTTAAATATTATGAATTTTCTGATATGGCTCTGTCTTGGATGCATTCATATTTGACTAACAGACATCAAAGAACAATAATCGTAAAAAATGGTAAAAAATGTATTTCACAGTGGCTTAACACTAAATGTGGGGTTCCGCAAGGGTCAATACTAGGCCCCTTGCTATTTTTAATATTTATTAATGACTTACCTCGAAATGTATCGTCTAACCTTATCTTATATGCTGATGACACTACAGCAATAGTTAAATCAAATAATTTGCAAAATCTTAAACAAGAAATCAGTCTTTCTATTCTTAATTTATCTAATTGGTTTACAGCCAACGGGCTAAAACTTAATAATTCTAAAACACAGGTGATGTTATTTCAAACAATTCAGAATAGGCAAAACTCCACTGTTGAATTATCTTATGATAATAATATTATATCCTTTACTGAAAATGCAAAATTTTTGGGTTTAGATATCGATAAGAATTTAACATGGAAAACACACATAAAAATGGTAGTTGGTAAATTAAATACGGCTTGCTTTCAAATGTATGTTTTGAGAAATGTAATAGATTTAAAAACTAAACTCACAGTGTACTATGCAATGTTCTTTTCTGTCTTGCAATACGGGATTGAATTATGGGGAGCAACTTCTTATTCTAAAGCAGTTTTCAAAATTCAGAAGAAATTTATAAGGATTTTATCATTTATGCCTAAAAGAACCTCATGCAGAGCTTTATTTGCTAAATATGAGATATTAACTTTGCCTTCACTTTATATATTTAAAATGATGGTGAATTTTAAAATTAATTATCAAATGTACAATGATAAACAAATCAGTCATCCATATCATACACGCTCAAAAAATTTTCAATATCCAAGACATCGCCTTTGTTTATATGAAAGATCTCCTTATTATATGGGATTAAGGCTTTACAACAGTCTACCCACTAATTTTAAAGAAATTAACAGTATTTCAAAATTTAAAAATGAGTTCAAACGATACCTTTTACAGAAAAATTATTATAATATTTCTGATTATTTAAATGATAAGTAAATATATTTTAGTTTAAGCTATGTGGATTTTAGTTTTGTTATGTAACTTAGTGTTTAAGATCTCTGACAATATCACCTGTTTCACCAGCTAACGCTGGATCTGTGAAATGTTTTGTGATAATAAAGTAATATTTCATTTCATTTCATTTCACTAGAATAGCTCCTTTCCTTTATGGCTACATCAGACCGGAACATTTTGGGTTTTGACAGGAACCCTCAACAACTCAGCAGCTCATAAGGGTCCTCAACATACTGGTAGACAACCACAACATGAACTTGTGCTTTGTCGGAGTCCTCCTCAACGTCAGCAGGGCATTCGACAAAGTGTGGCACAAAGACCTCCTCTATAAGCTCAGTCAGTCACCCAATCATGATGTTGCTATTCACCTGTTGAAATCGTACCTCCAGGAAAGATCGTTCCAAACGTTCGTCAATGGTAAGCTATCTACAGTTCGATCAATCGAGGCCGGAGTCCCCCAAGGCAGCATACTAGGCCCAGTCCTTTACCTCATCTACACCAACGATATCCCGACAGTACCACGTGTGACCCTGTCACTCTATGCAGATGACGCTCTTCTGCAATGTCAGAGCTGCATGGATCATGCAGAGGCAGATGGACGTCCTATCACCGTGGCTACAAAAATGAAGGGTAAAGGTTAATGCCGATAAAAGCGATGCCATTTGTTTCAGAAAACAGAGAAGGATGCTAAGGGCAGCTATACCAGCAATCGAGCTAGATGGAGAGCAGATACCCTGGCATAACACAGTGAAGTATTTAGGTATTACACTAGACTCTAAGCTACAATTTGGGGAACACGTGAGGAAGAAAGTCAGCGAGGCAACTACCATCCAAGCAATGCTGTGGCCGATGATCGCCCCGAGGACCCCGATGATCCGTCGTAATAGAGTCACCACGCTCCGACACACACCGGGAACGTCGAGCCCAGCTTTGGCCCATTGCATGCCAGGTTAAGATAGTTTTTGAAAACTGTTAATAGTTAAGCGCTCAGCAAGTCAGTAATAAATTCACCAGACCTACTAATGTCACCGATTCAACAAACGGCTAAGTTTTGTTTCAGATACCCTGAGATTTATTCTGGCAGCAGAGGCGAGTCATCTTGCTGTGATCGCCCTCCCACATACTGAGTGGAGGGTGAAGGTACTTTTAGTGGGTATACCAGAAGCTGGCGAGTCCCACACTAACCTCAAAGACCGAGGGTGTGTGTAATGCATTTTACACCTCCCTAACAAAAAAAAGGAACTAATCTCCCCCTGTCCCCCCCCTCACCACCGTCGCATTCATAGGTGAACTTTACTTTGCTCTTGTCCTCTCCTCTTGACGACTGACTCGTCTACATAACATGTAAATCCCTCAGCGAATTCCAAAAATATTGAAACCCATACATCAATCAATAACGAACAATCCTTACACCTCTACAGAGTTTCCATGTTTGCGCTCACAAAAGACGCTATATCATTGTACATAGTAGCTTGATAATTAACACAGTAGTAATCATCTACATGAAACTGCAGAGATTAGTATGGATTTTATATTAAACATGTTTCGGTTGTAAATTATATTCGATACTCAAATATACTGAGCACGGTTTCTTTCTACCACTTTAGCGTAAACTTGTTATCTTCACTTATGTTTAATTTATTTAATTTAGCGTACATACATATTTTTTAAGAGTATGAAGTTATAAAAATTGATTATTCAGTTTCAACAGGTCATTTATTATTTTACTTATGAAATAGGCTGCATACAGCCATGATCATATTTGTTCAGTTGAAGGATCAAATGAAATGAGTACCAAAAGGCTTAGAATAGGTTATGAAAAAAAACATCTTACATACGAATCAAACATACAATAAAATTTTGGTTGAGAGTTTTGAATTTTGCCTTTTGGTGTGGATTTATTTGAAAGAATATGACTCATGATTTAAATGACTGTGTGGATTTAAATGACTAAAATTTTGATTTTATCATTACCATGGAGATGATGTTCTCGATTTTACCAGGACCGTTGAAGATGTTCTCGATTTTACCTTGGCCGCTGACGATTTTTTTGATTTTGCTGTAGCTGTGGAAGGTTTTCTTGAGTTTACCGTAACCACGGAAGATGTCCTCGATTTAACCAGGTCCACGGAGACGTTTACAATTAAGTCATCATCCCCCACCACGGAAGATTTCATTCATTTCAGTCTGGTTTTTCATGCGCTAACACAAACGTTTACGCTACCAAATTGCATTGCCTCACTGGGTGTTAAGCTCTTCTGAATTTATCTTAAATCCATATTAAAAGAAAAAAAATCTGGTTTTCCTGGTGATATTTTAATATTGTTCCATAGTTCCCGGTTTTCCCAGAACTCCCCCTGGGATAATTATTAGTGAAATAATATATTAGATTAATTAAAATAGCAAATAGCAAATAGCTACATAGCTACATACCGACCACGTTCCACCCAGTAAACAGAAATTTGTGTTTGATAGTAATGCAAAATGAACTATATCAGCCAACTGGCTTGTCATCAACCCTTAATGAGGAAGCAGTAGAAGTAACTATGATATTTTATATGGAGTAAAAAAAACACAAGTTGCAATTACTTTAGATTCACAATTTTTACAGTACCGGTATTGGGGTGTGTACTATTTTTTTTAATCAAAAGTAATATAACATTCTATATTTTAATCAAAATTGTTTTTAACTTTTTTTGTGAAAATCCAATTCACCATTATCTATGGGTTTTTATGGAAAAATCACACTTAAAAATCTAAATAAAAAAACACCTGGAGATAGGTCTACCAAGGATTAGTACTTCCATACAAAATTTCATCAACATCAGACCACATTTGTTGTCTGGGCAGTTTTTGACCACCCTGGATTTAACACAAAACTTGTGGTATAAAACTACCAGTTTTTGTTTTTAAAGATATTTTTCAAAACATAATCCGAGGAGGACCCCCAGAACCCCTTCTACTGGGAGGTTTTCCATCCCCCAGGCCCCTTGGTTCCCTTCCCACCCACAAATTGGCATTCGTTTGTCACTGAACAGGTCTTGAGGCTATTTATTTTATAAAATAACTGGAGATTATTTTTTAATTTAATAACCTAGGAATAAGAAATGACAAATGTTGAGGATACAGAAGGGTTTATGACTTAGACTCTTTTACTGAGAATGTTTTATTTTTAAATTTTTACTCCATTGTTTAGCATTTTGTTTTGATTTTTATTAATTTTTATATATAACATAAGGAATGAAAATAATAATTTTACTATAAGTTACACCATAACAATGGTCTTGTTATGATTACAACATTGTATAGACAAAATAACAAGGATTGGGAATAATGTACAAACTAACAACTAAGCACATAACAGATGAGTGCAAGCGATAATATTTACAATAAGGTAACAGGCAAAATGCAGTAACAAAATATATAACATCAGTAGCAAGCTCTTTGGTTACAATTCATTCACAAACGACTTTCATAACCATCAGCTAACATTTAAAAATGTTTATAGAAAATAACAAAAACTAACAAAGCAACGATTGACACGATTATTTTACATTTTCCTATTTCGGTGTAAAATAAGACGGCATTTCCAAAAATAATTATCATATAAAATCACTACTGGCTAACCTATCAAATCCACTTAGTGATAGCCTATGTTCCAAACAAGAGTTATTAGGCTCGAATAGCGGAGAAAAAATTTACCAAATAAGATAATATCGAAGAAGGAATCATGCAATAGTACTTACACTGCGCACTGATTTATTGTCAGTTTTGTTTGAAAAATAATTATCAACATTTCATTGGTGCATTTGTAACACAAAGAATATTAAACTCAAACACATTGTGGATTAGGGTATATAAAATATTCTAAAGGCGCCTACAAATGGACTATGTATAGCTTTAGCGAAAATCACTTTCCCTGATGGGACCATTATCCTCACAAATTGTCACACTCTTAGACAAAACAAAGCACATTTACAGCTCAGATTCTGTTAGCGACTCAATAACAAAATAGTTGGCTATATTCCATTACTGTACTTTAAAACTACCCACATTAAAACTTGTAAAACTTAGTTTATTTAAAATATCATAAATATATCTACAAATTTGGAATGTTAAGGATGTCTGTGCCCAAACCGTAGATAAGTTTTTTACTATTTGTTTATCGACTGATCAGGTAAAGCATATTGGCTAGAGTTTACATCAGTCTAGCTAGAGACAGGTGACTCTAAATCAATATCATTTGCAGCTTAGATACTGTCAAGTATTGAACTTTAGTCAACATTTTAGCTAATTCGTACAATAGGATAACACCAATTGATGATTGATTGCTCCTTTACCATAGTGTAGTTTGTATAAAAGATTAGGTCTGTGTTTGAGCAATATAAAGGTCATACCTCATATTGTTTTAAGGTTTCAAATACAACAAATAAGTATTTTAAGAGTATTGCCTGAATTAATAATGAGTGCTATACCATTCCAAATATACTGAACTAAAAGCTTTAACTCTTTAATTTAGGCCTTTCGAACCAGTGATTGGTCCACACTCTCTCTATTATACTACAGAGGATATATTTCATTGGTGTAGTTGAAACTCTTGTAATAATTAACGCGAAACACCCAACTACATTGTTGCGAAGTATTGCTTATAAATGGGTTTCTTCTCACCAAACACATAATAACTCTACATAAGTCCTCTTGACAGTGAAACAGTTACACCAAGAACAAAGGCAAAATTTATTTTGAAAAATTTAATGTCAGTCTAAGAACAAGTTTGTTGATATTAAAGGTTTGAATATTATAAAATGCTAAACTTTGTTTGAAGTTTCTTTTTTGTGCAAGTGGATACAATGTCAAAAACCAGAACCGTCCATAAATGATTTGTCTTTAAATTTAATATTACCCAACAAATTATTTATATCCAAAAATGGGAAAACCCTCAGTAAATTCAAACCAATAGTATGCATGTAGGTGTGGGACAATCACTATGTTCAAATAAAATTAAATTATTTAATTATTTTTTGTTCAAACAAGAAATATTTTTCCCATGAGGACTATTATACTCATCACATACAGACCAAACCAACCTCTTAAAATTAGATTGTAACCTACTTGCTTAGCAGATTGTATTCTAAAAACGATTTGTTACTATCTAATACAATACATGATTTGATATTTACTAATGGTAGTAGATATTCTATAAATCTTTGGTGAATATACAATTAACTGTAACGGATATTTTGAAGTTAATATAGTTTCTTATCGAGTATATCTCAAAAGCAATGCTAAATATCCATCAGAAATTAACAGCGGTGAAAGCTGGCTAATTTTTGACAATAGACATCCTGTAAAATGAGATCACAGCGTCTAGAAGCGGAGGGGGAGAGGGGAGACTGGACAGCGAACTTGGCGCCTGGACCAACATCTGGTGGGTGCTTTACACTTCTGTAACAGACAAACATCATCATCAACATCCTGTAGTCACTATCAATGGTGAGCAAAGCTCCTGCAGGTTGTTCAAGTGTGCTTGACATGACTTTTAGTTCCAACGGTAATGAGTGCAGTATAGTCTTGAATATCTTACTTAAACCAGCTGTGGCAAGGCTGGGAACCAGAAAGGTTGGGTAAAAAATAACAAAAAACATTTTTAACATGTTAGAAGTCATGAAACTGATAAAGTTTCTCTGTTATGAAACCATTTTAAGTTTGTCTTACATTGAAACCACTATTTTTCTCCGTTTTGAATGGATCATCATAAATAATATAACAAATAACCAATAAAGTAAACATATATATTTTACATGAACTGTAAAATATACATGATAAACAAGTGATATTCAACCACTCAAAACAGGTCTAAAGACGTAAGGTATAGCAGAGAGGTATGCGGTATGCAGGTACTAGAGGTTGACGAACTGTTTAGTATGAAATGTGTTGTTAAAATAATCAGAAAGTAGTTAAGTGCAGTGTGTTATGCCTGGCAGCTAGGTATCTTCTGAGTACATAGAGATTGCAGAATAGGTCGTCTTGATGTACCTATTAGGGTGTACAATCATACAGTCCGCAATATCATAGTACTTGATAGTCCTTCGAGAGGTTCAGATGATAGGGAAATTTTGAGACTCAAAGATGGATAAATAGACTCTATTGTATTTTGTTTACAGATCAAATAACCAGTAGCTTAAATTTTACTGAAGCTAACACCTTGCTTATCTGGTCTAAATTTTTCAGAGGTTTTCATGATAAACCAAGTACCTTACAACTTTTTAACTAAAAATAATTAGTGCTTACAAAATGGGATAACTCACCTGTATTGATAAACAATAATGGATAATCGTATCTCAAGACAACTGGTTGGTAGTAACATTAGTTCTTTCACTGGTGGACCGGATCGGAAGGGGAGGGGTAGCTTCTGGCGATGTGACACCCCCACTGCTGTTGTTGTTGTTGTTGTTGTTCACAACACTGCTACTCCGCCGCCTACCCCCAGCAGTGTTGTTGTCTCGGGATGCTTTGACATCAAATACTGATGTGTCTGACTCTATATCTGATTCAGCCTGGCAATTTAACAACTTTGTTATAAATGTTATACGCATAGAATTATCACAGCAAAATATAGATACTGTAAATGTATTTGTACTCTCAGTAATTTATTATTGTAATGGAATTGATCACATTTATTACTGTATGACTTAGATTAAATTTGATATGAAATTATTGACTAATGAGAGGGGAAAAGTAGATTGGAGTCAGATTAATTGAATCTAAAAAAGTAAGTATCTCTGCTATAAGGCTGATACATTTGTGGTTTATGTTGCTGTTCTGTATCAAGGGATTGTTTTGGGTTTTGTAAATATATGCAGTTTGATAAAAATATTTATGAATTTAGAGAGGTTTTATGTAAAAGAGTAGATTGTATACACTGATGGCTGCACCTTTAGAAAAATGTTTAGAGTGCCATGAGTAAAATTATTTGATATAAAACATGGGAAGAACATAGGGGAATAGGAGAATACCGTAGGAGAAAGTGGAATATTTGTAGTCAGTTCATAAGGGTACCTAGATGTGTTGTTTGTTTTTCAGGAATTCTAAATTTAAACTTACAAGAACTTTACTGTCACGAAATAAATGAAAAGAAAAATGTGGATAAGGCTAGTGTTGGAAGGCTTGCTTGAAAGTACTCTTATTATTTTTTAATATAGCAGTATAAGATTGGCGACTGATTACGGGCTTTTGTTTGAGTCCTGTATTGTCTTACTCATTTTATTTTGGTAAAAATATTAAATCTAAAAGAGTTAAACGATCAACTTAAAACAAGTTGTTGTTGTCATAGAAAAATCAAACATTGGGTGTTTGTTGGGTGCAGTTAGCATACCGGTACTGTTAGATTGAATAGAACCAATTTTGAAGTGTTTTTATAGTTAAAGGCATAGGTTAGGCTAATTAGCTTGCTTGTGCATCTGATAAAACATTTAAGGAGAGTTAAAACCAAAGTGGATAAAATCAACTTATCATTAATACAAAACTACACACTTGATGTAGTTGAATTTACTAAGATTTCTGATTACTGTAGTTCCTATTTAAAAGATTAGTAGAAACTGAGGACTGTCAGAATGTAAACTATATTGGTTACAGAGTTAGTTACCAATACATTTTTGGATGTTTACAAAATTAAATCACACAATCTGTTTTCCGACCATTGTTGCTAATCACCTTATGTTCCAGTTCTGTAAATGTCATTATTAGAGATGTTCTAAGCAGATTTCATTCAATTTTCTTCGTTTTAATCTATTAAAATCAAACCAATACCAATAGCAATCGCTTTTATCGTTTTATCCAAAGTTAAGTATTGGTGACTGGAGCTCAAAGACAGTCAACTACCATATCTAAGTCAATACGCTGTTTCAAGTTGCGAAAGGCATACTTGTCTTGTGCCGAGGTAGGGAGAGAGCCGGTCCGAAGTGTCACTTCCGCAGCTGGAAGATTCTGACAGCTCGGTGGTGAACTTGCGAGAGGCTCGCGGGGAAGATGGTGGGTGTCGGGAGCACACTTGCGATTGGATATGTTCACACACTCTTCTGAATCTCCTGATATTGCCTGTTACATTGGTTACAAATTAGTACATAGCTTCACGCTCACAAAACATTCATCTCATGATATATTTGCCTCTGAATTGTCAGAATCAACAACTAAAAGTGTATGTTATGTGCACCACTTTCAGAACCAAAGTTGTATCATGCTGCGGAAAATGAAGGACTTCTTCAGGTTAGCAATAGCGGACATTCTGACCTTAAGATGTGCTACAAACGCAGATGGACAGTCTTTGTGTGGAATTTTTTTCCTTGTATGCACTTTTTTATTTGACTTTTTTACTATTCGATTTATTTGATTTTGGTAATTAACCAAATTCTGACCCCATCCACTTCACATCAAACAATTATCTATAAAAAAAAGTATTAGTACTACCCTCAACAGACCAGTTTAGAGAGAAATAACCATTATTCCAGTCAAAATCAGTTATTTTGTTATAAAAATAAATTCAAACCAAGTGGAATATAATACTTATAGTTTAAGCATTGAACATTAAAATTTTTTATTTAATTTCTATTTTCGGTACAAAATAATTTATTTTTGACCTTAGTATAAAAGTTTTAAGACACAATAAAGTTGGATTTAAATTGTAGTTTAACAGATAAACCATAGACAGCAATTCTAACCTGATAACTAAGAACATATAATAGCAGATGCACATATTTACAAACATCAACAAAAATGGGTTAGTTTTATTAATTCAAGGATTTGTTCATTAATAATCCATGTTTGTACCTCTTCTGTTCAGATACCTAAACGCTAAAAGTTTTACTTTTACAGTAAGTTTTTATAGATATAACAGTTGACGAACACAATTAGTTTCATTTCTGCATAATTTAATTTAAATTCTGAACAATTTTGTGATGTTTATTACACTAGTAATATATTAAGAGCTATATTATGATCATATCACGTTAAAAAAATGTTTTACACTTTTTTTAAATTCTAATGTATTTTGTGTATTTAAATTTCAGGGCAGTAAAAGGTCATAATAAGAAACAGTCCAACCCTAGCCTTTACAATCTCGTGTTGATTTCTTCATAGAAAGCATAATTACCTACAGTAATCAATAGCTCAATAGTACTGTAGTAAACTGTGTCTGGAATAGCACACTTTATTCCTCTGTTATCAAGCCAGACATGTATTAAAGACAATTAATTTCAATTACCATCGCCAGGGCCGGATTTCCCAATAGGCCCGGTAGGCCCGGGCCTATGGGCGCAAAGTCCCAGAGGGCGCACGGCCGAGAGGATTTTTTTTTATATTCTATCTAAAAATAAAAATAGTCATAGTTGATAAAAAAAAACTCTGCCTAATAAAGCATTGTAATTCTGAAATTCATAAGAAGAAATTAAAACTATTTTTCAGAATCACGCATCAATTTTGTTACAAAATTGGTAACGAACATTGGTTATACGGGAGTAGGCTGTAGGGATGTTGACGTTGACGAGCGCCCGAGCTGTACGCATCGTATTGCCACTATGCTGGCTCGGGTCGGGCTCGGCACTACTGATCAGAGTGATTAGGGGCGCATGCGTGCTAGACATTGTTACTACCCTCACCTCACAAAACAAAAGCTATTAACTATTTTTTTGTTTAGTTTACAACAATCTGCAGGATTAAGTTAAAATATATAATACGTTGTGTTGAATATTAAAACAACAATGAATTTACGTTTAAAATTAACGAAAAAATATTAATCTCTGCATTAGATTTTAGAATAATTCAATACTCTCCAAAGCACCAATAATGCTGTCATTTTCTCCTCAGACCTAAGGATCGGTACGGTTGGCAGGAATTTTGCTTTGGAAATATATGTAACCTAGATGCAGTACGACCATAGATTAAATATAACTCAAGTCGACTTCTTATGACATTATTATTTCAAATTTTTTTTTATGTCTAGTTAATATTGGCGAAACTGGACGTTATTTTTGACGTAATTTTGTTTCTATTATTCTATGATAATTTAGGGTTAATTCTATGATGTGTGTTTTAATTTCTTGTAATATAAACAGGAGACGACCTATTGTTGATGATTAGATCGTTTTATTTTCCATGAACTAGGTTTAAACATAGATAAAACATGCTCATTAAGTAACAAGAATTGTTTTCAGCTAATCCAAAATGATGACATATCTACTAAAGGAGTATGTTTAATCTATGGTATCACGTACTGCATGGAGTTCATGTTTTGGGCCTGGAATTGGAATCAATGGCCACGTTTTTTTTGCAGGAATTCTTGGTGGGTTGAGTTGTTTTGTTTCAGTTCCACGGCCACAAACGTGAGCATTTATTAAAAGCATAAAATTGCTAAAAGTGTTTAAGACGCTTAAAAAAACTTGCAATGATTATGATTCCGACGAGGAGTGGTATTCAAACAATTAACTTAGGCCGATGGCATAGACTAACCAACTAGTATGTTTTATCTATGCCTATGGGCATGATATAGTTTTTAATAAAGGTTTACAGGAAAGTAACTGTGACCAGACTAGGGGGCGGAAAATTATTTGGGCCTAGGGGCGCAAAAATGCTAAATCCGGCCCTGACCATCGCTATTCGATTTATTCAGTAACCAAATGGAAAATTCATCTACCTGGAATATCTAAAGGAATAGATTTTTTTCAGCAACAAACCAAATTATACAACATACTTCATGCAATTTAATTGTAACCTATCATTTTATCATTGTATACATAATTTGTGGTTATATTTAGTCTCTAGCCACATAATGATATACATTCATTACACCCCAGCTGTGCTTTGAACCCTCATCTGGGGAAAACCTTAAAATTATTTTAAAATATTCAGACATGTAGGCTATTACGGTAAAATTAGTTTTCATACCACAACAATTCAAAATAGTTCATCCTGAACTGGCAATAAAATTAAATAATGTATTGATTTAGTAGCCTTGGCACATGGTGACTCTGACGTTTCACAGCCTCACAACACCTGTTACAGGGATGTTTCAATAGCATGTGTAAGTAGTAGGTTCAATTCCCAAACAGCCTGTATAATACTGTGAGGTAAAAAAGCAACAATGTATATTGTATATTGTTAGAAAGCTCATTGTTGCAGGAAAATAATTTGTGGCCGCTCAATTGCTTTGAGTAAGAGTAGCTTAATCTACACCAAGTCTCATATATAGTTGTCATATCAGTATCTGATATGTTGAAAATCTGGTACAGTATGATATTTTATTTATTTTTTATTTACAGAATGCCTACATCACAAAATGACAGGACATTTTTCAATTACATTATAATACTTAAAGCTAAATAATAATATTCAAATTAAAACAAAATAATTTTAATACTTAAAATCCTACCAATTTCCACTTAAAAATTCATTTAAAGAATAAAATGTTTTGGTTAGCAACCAGTCTTTACATTCTTTTTTAAATTTGTTTGGATTGGTGATGTTTTTAAAATTATCAGGAACTAAGTTATACAATTTTGGTCCAATATATTGAGGTGATGCTTCTAATAGTGATAATATGGCTAGTGGGCTTAATTATGTTCTTATGTTTAGTGTTATACCTATGGTTTGAGTGACTCTCCTGAAAATGGACAAATTGTTGAAAACCCAAAATGATGCTTCTAAAATATATAGGTCTTAAAATGTTAAAACTTGAAAAGATGAACTTGAAAGCCTGAGAGATGGTTTTACATGGACTTCTTCTTCTTTGATGTAGGTAATGCACACAGAAAATATGGCGTAGTGAAGCTAATGAACTACTAAAATATTGGTAGCCTTTTAAAATCTGTGCCACGCTGTCAGTGTTTTCCTACCTTAACATATAACACAATAATAATAGTGGTTATTATACTGTATAAACATACATATGCAGACACAATAATATTTGTTTTTCACAGCTTCAAGATTAAACACCGGTACACTTTTTAATGACTGAAAATTCAATAATGTTTCTATCTTAATAAAATTGTTGTTGATCATTTTCTCACCAAAATTTAGAATCACAAACAGTATTTGAAAATATCTACGGTATTAGTAGATTTGTTACAAGACAAAGTTCTAATATTTTAACTAAACTAATCCTACATAAGCAATCTATCTTACAATCTAATGATTTTACTACTGATTGGTCAAGTAGACAATGTTATGATTCATAAAAGTTGTTTGAAGAGATACTTTCCCATAGTGTATTGTATCATGTAAGAGTGAATATCAGCCATGACATTACCTGAGATAAGAGTAAAAGTGACTGCATACAGGTACTCTTTAGGGCAACTCGGTTTAGAAACTGTTGAGATGTCGACTTGAAAGCGGACTTGTCGCTGAAACATTGCAGCGCCCGTGGTGCCTCGCCTGTACTCCACACGGAAAGACATGGGACTAGACACGCTGTGACTTAACTCAGCTATCTGGAACCATTCAGATAACCGATCAAGCTTTCAGAGCCAATTGCATGGAGATACTGTACAATTTCAAGAACGTATAAGTTGAATCAAGCAAAGCAAGCGAGCAATCAAGCAACATTTTGTTGTTCACAGCATGAGTACACTGAGAGCCAACTTTTTACTCTAAGGTAACTGTCATAGCCATGTAGGAGAGCGAGAGCGGGGAGTGTGAGAGGGTTATGTGAGACACTGACATGCGGCACAGTTAGACTTCAACACTTACGGACAGAAACGCGTGGATCAGATCAGCCTTGACGGATGCAAGAGGCTTTCCTTTTACAAGGACTGTAAATGTCTCATCTTTCTCGGAAGTCATTAAACTGCCAAACCAGGACTTTTTTGTAAGTTCTGGCGATGACTCAGGAGTAAGGCCAACCTCCTCTGATGATGCTAAAACATAAACACACCATTAGAAATGCAAAATAAATGCGTATCTCAATCTGTATGTGGGTTATTACATTATTTTACAATTACGAAATACAAAAAGGATGCCATTTATAGGAAGTCTAAACTTTTGTAGGATAAGATATACTTTGGGTTGTAACATAAGACAATATGTAATGCTACAAAACTCATTATGTGATTCTAGCAACCAATAAAAGATAAATGACATGGAATCATAGGGATTAAAATAGTTCATAGCTGTTACTTTAAAATTATAATGTATAACTGTGCTCTGATGGGGAACTTCCAATATTTTTACAAAGTGTACCCTTCGTATTAAAATCTGCCTGTTATAAACCATCTGTGGATATAATTGTGAACTGCGGAACTGTCTCTTTGTTCTATTATATTTAATCTAGGTTCACTCTTGAGAGAGAGAGAGAGCTTTATTTAGAATATTATTTCTTAAAGATGAAATGGCATCACAAATGGTGAGCAGCATTGGCTCACCATCCTTTGAAATACTATCCACATAGTGCTTGCTAACCACTTATCCTCTCAGCCTGGTGCGAATTACTTGAGATTCGATTATATTTTCATATCTTTGCTATACAGTATGGCATATTTTTTCTGAGCGCTTTGGTGTTAGAAGTATCTTTCAGCAGTAGTATGCCTAACATAAATGTTAGTTATCAAACATCGCGTTTATTCTGTACAGGAACAGTTAACATTTTGTACCTTGCAGTTTTCTCCGGTGAAACCTTGGGGAGCCCAGGAAGCTGTTCTTGATGGTAGTGAGACGGGAGCGCCAGTGGTTAGGAGTATGAGGGGACCCAGGTGGTGTGCAAGCCACAAGATGACTACCAGCTGAAATGTGACATGTATGTTATTTTTTTTACTGTTTTCTTTAATCAGCCTCTAGATCACATAACTGAACAATATGAGTTTCACAATCCTATCTTACCAACCCTATTATAATTAACCTCCATGATAGTTGTGTATAACATGTCTGATTTCAGTATTTGGTTTAATTTGTTTATATAAATCTAACTATACAGGGTGGCCCAAAAAAAGGTACTCATCATTTCATAGCAATTAATTATTATTTATTAGCTCTACAAACTTACTCTATCTGAAAACTAAGTGCTCTATATTTTCTACCATTGTTTATTACATATTCCATTCGTCTTTGAATGTTTTCAACCATTCCTTAACATTTTTGTGGAGTGATTTCGATTTTAAAACATAAGTTAAGTTAAAGCAGCAGTTTAGATGAGTACCTTTTTTGGGCCACCCTGTACTTGTGTTCATATAAAACTTATTCCTTTGGATGAATAAAATATCTTAATTCAATCTTCCTGAATCGAAAACTATGAGTTTCAAAATGAGATTAGATAATTAATAATTATGAACACCCCGAATAAACAAAACATCTGACACACTCCATACGGAAATAACCATACTGGCTAATCTGACCCACCCGTTGGAGAAAAGGTAATGTATTTGAATTAAAAACATATATATATACTTGTATGTTCTGAAATACGAATCAGGGTGTCCAGCGAGAAAATCCGGTATTATACATAGATTTTTATGACTGAGAAAAGGTCTGTAAATTTTGTTCGGATCCAAGAAATTTTGAAAAATTATTACTAGCCAATGGCTGGGCGCCCATTCATTAATGGCCTTCCATTGGTTCTCTTTTGAGGTTGTTGTTTAGTAAGAAGAACCCAATTGTGGAAGACGGTTAGTGTTGCCGTGATCACTGGAAATTATTACGATGTGGCCATGATTGTGGAAAATGATTACGGTTTTGTCATGATCATGGGAGAAAATCATGGGGAAAATAAATAAATAACATTGAAAATAGTTTTCCCAATCTCAGGGGAAATGTAGCCACAATACTTCTATATTTATTTTATCTCATTTTTTAGTTTGTTATTTTCTTTTATGGATCAACTTTATAAAAGATATATAGTAGAAAGTTTTGGGCTACCTCTGTTTTTAGCCATAGCACAAAATAATCCATTAAATAATTTAACAAGCCTTTAATGTGGCAGATTGATATTTTGGACATAGGTATCAATTGTCAAATTATCATTTCCATTATGAACTGAGTTGTTTATCATCAAAATAATCAAAACCCACCATTGAGAAGGAGAAAATTATTTAGATCCAAGTATGTCAAGGTGGTTTACTTCATGACCCAACATCTCCAACTTCATAAATAAAAAAAATAATTTAGCAGTCCTAACATACCTTGTTAGAAGACTGATCATAAAATTAAGAAATGAAAGGTAAAAAGACTCATCTTTTCTGCTCTTAAACTCATTCAACTAGGGTTTTTTAGTAATAACTTTGCTACAGCTGGTCCATGATGGAATGACTAATTCAGTATCCCATAGTCTCTTCTCCCATTATCCCATATCCCATAGTCTGTCTTTGAATTAATGTATTTTTGACACTACACTTTTGAGTATCAAATGTTTATAGAATGGCAGTGTGAAACACAACTGATTCTTGATTTTTAAGGAAATTCTACATTTATTCAGTTTTTATTTCTCCTACTGTAACTGCTTACTTACAAGATGCTTAACTTACCAAAAAGCTAATTATTCTTTGTAAAACTAATGTTGCTGAGCTATCAAGAATGCTATGTTGTACCAAGGTAACAGTTTACTCACCGGTGATAGGAGATGGAGCCGACTGATCGTTGGAGTCTGGTGTGGTCCTCTGGTAGTGGGCAGGGGACAGAGGAGGAGGTGTCAGGGAGGAGATGGTTGTCTGATGACGAGGCACAGGTGATGATGGTGGTTGTTGGTGGTTCGTGTGAGCAGACGCTGCTCTGGAAACAAACAAAACATGTATCTCTTCCCATTATTTATCAAACCAATCAACAAAACTATTCTGATATGGAAGACTCTCCTCTCAACTATTACTTAGCACAACTTGTATGGAGAAACACAAGTGTGGCACTCAAAGAACCTTAAACCTATGTTGTTCTCAAGAGTTGGTTGGCTGAACAATAGGTACACAATAATTGTCCCAGCAAATTAGCACTTTATTAAAGCTCCACCTTAAACCCAACTAAAATTTACAAAGCTGCCAATTATAAAACACAAATCCTTAAACAAATAGCATTTCCACTCAACCATATGTCATTTATATATTTCAAAATCAAACACACTTTCCTTTAATTGAATATTATAAAACTAAATATAGGTAAAACTCTCTCACCATAGATTATCCTTTTAACAAAGACTTCCCATTACAAAACTCTTTCAAAGAGCCTAGCCCTGAGACAGAGTCCCCAATACTCATCAAGTGTTTCTCCGGTCCTCTGTATACTATTCCCTGATCGACTGACCCCTTTCCCTACCACGGGTGGTATTTTATCTACTGAAACTTCTACTGAGTGAAAAGCCCTCAGTGTTTACATAATACACCTTTAGTACGCCAACCTTGCAAGGTCTAACCAAAAATCATCAACCTAGCTGTCTTAGTCTACCCTCCATTACAGTGCAAAACATTACATGTTCCATGTTACATGTTTCCATTACATGTTGAAATTATATTGGTTAATGTCTGCAAACATTAAATTTATCCATCTCTGCCAATTACTACAACAAATTTTCTACAACTCCTTAGAGGTATTTATTGAACATTTAAAATAGAATGGAATATTATACACCAATCTATGCAAAATTAAAAAATATGAATTTTTTTATTTTAATGCTTAAGTCCCACAGTCTACCCATCAGTCACCACACCATAGCACACCTCTTCAAGGGTTATGCTAGCCTTAAGACATAGCTAACAATTAACAAACAATTACATAATCTATCAAATGTTTTGACCTTTAACGACAACATATTTATCAACTCATTGATCAATGACATGACTGTGACTCAGGCAGGTATGCTCCAGCGGTCTCAGAACTACTGTTTGGAATTTGTACCTATATGGTCTACGACTAAAGAGCATATCATGCTATATTACCTTTAGGCAAACATCTTGAAATTGAATTATCAAAGATCAATCAAAATTCTTTCCTTGGTTTTTTTTTAGTTTTGAAAACAGGGTCCCCAAATTATTTTTAATTAGATTTCAAATTCGTATCTCAAAGTAGTTCACGAGTTTCACGTTCCTCCTAGATCACATTGTGAATACCTCATCATATGACCACAGTTTATGACAGGCTTTTGTTGTCCCTGCTTGCCGTCTGTGGAACAGTCTACCCCTGCACATTAAATCCCTTGAAAAGCGCTCCCAGTTTGTAGCGGCACTGAAATGTCTCTACTTTGAGCAGATGGTCTCAACTGGCGTGTCCTAGGACTGCTGTGTTTTTGCGGGATTGCTGGTATGTGTGTGTGAGTGTGGGTATGTGCTTTCTTGACTTGCTTTGTTCTTTTTCTTTCTTTTCTTATCTGTTTTGTAAATATAAAATATGTCTATTTATAGTTAAGTATACAAATGTATATTAGATTAAGTTCTTCAATTGTAGTTTATTCATTTTGTATTAGTCAGATTAAGTGTAAGAAAGGGCCATGTGGCCCTAACTTTGCCTGAATAAATACAGGATTCTTCATTTCATTTCATTTCATATTTCTTACCTCTGTGGAAGGGGAGAGGCGAGACTTAATGAGTTGTTGCTAAAGTTGGTTGGTGTTGTCTGAGCGTTTGTACAGAGATGGTTACTGCCTCTTCTGTTGTGATGTCTTGCCCTAAAACAACACTTGTTTTATCACAATTTGTATCATTAAAGATTTAAGTAGCTTGCATTGTATTAAAATTTTATCTTACCTTGATGATGATTTTCATTACTTTGCAACAAAAGCAAGGGTTGAAGTCATCGTTCTCGATACTATATTAGGGTATAAGTATTTCTACACTAAATAACTGAGATCCTCTCACCAGTAAATTATTACTAACAGCACTGGGAATTGAGACCATGATGTTGTTGCCAAGGTTTTGCAAGCAACCATCTGAGCCACTAACTAACTAAATAAGTTGTGTAATGATAAGTTTTGGGTCATACTCAGTACTTAGTTTTTATTTTTCAATAAATCCTACATACTAAATGTCATCCTACCAGCCTAAGCCAGGTGTGATGAGCCTCTTAACAGCCTTGAAGATTTGTGAGGTGCTATGAGATATCAACAAGTATTTATGGTTTTTTTGCGTGTGCATCATAGTAATGTTTATCTTTCAATCATGAAAACGACTTGAAAGACCTATGAAATGTAGTGCACTTGGCTCATTTATTCTGTTCTGGCATGTGTATTCTTTCATTCTTTGATGTGAGGGTTTATATAAGCTTTGGAAAAACTAGTAGCATTATGTGAAATAAAATTGGTATATTTAGGACAATTTCATAATCTTGTTTATGCGACAAAGATTGCTAAATCAAAATGCTCAACAGAGTTTTATGGAGGAGTTTTATGTTAGGATGCCAAAGTTGATAGATCCAGTTGTGCTGTCCCTGGTGATCACCTGCCATTCTATCTGCACATGAAAACATCTGCACTTTAGTTTCTCACTAAAGTTGTGATAACAGTGTTATATTGGCAGGCCAAACCAGTTGAACATATTAATTCGAAAAATGATTGATTTGTTTTATAATTTCCATATTATTCTCTATCTGTAGCGTTTGGTATGTTACAATTTGTTTGAGAAAAACTTACTGGAGATTTTGTCTTCTAGGAGTAACTGGGGAGCCTTCACTGATTTGTGCAAACTGCATTACATTAGTTCCATTGATAAGGCAAGTGTCTACTCTTTTACGTGGAGGATCACTGCTCTCGGCCCGGACACGGGCTGCGACTTGTTCTGTTTCATCCTCCACAGCTGGCCTTCTTCTTTTCCTCTCCAGCAATAAGAAATAAATCACCTTTTCTGTATTATGGCTGAAAAAAGAACATTATATGATCAACTGAGTCTTACATTGAGGATTATTGAAATAAATCCAGCTCAAAAATCACACTGCTGTCTTTACTTTCCTTGTGAAAACAGAATTTGGAATAGACATCGTCACATCCTTAATGATTTACATGGATTAATTTGCAAAATTAAATTGAGCACAACAAGAAAATACATGAAATGCCTCTAAAATCTAAAACTATAAGCTAGGCCAGATGACTTGATTAAAAAAATGTAAAACCCATCCAACTGATGAAATGCTTCCTAATGCAACATTTGAAAAGTTAATGGTAACTTGTTAAAAAGTTTTGCAACTAAATCTTTTCGTATGATCATGTATTTTTTTTTCCTCTGACAGAAAACTTATTTAATTTATTCTTGATAAAGATTAATAATTCAAAAATATACAAGTTTACAATAGTCAGAATCCCCATTGAAATGAAAAGTGGCCAATAATGGACTTACTCCTCCCAAGCTCTAAAATTGTTTTATTTTTTTTATTTGCATTCCAACCCCATAACCCCAATACCTGATAACGTTTTCAAAAAAGGCTAAATTCTATTTTCAAGTATTTATAACTTACAGTATTTATAATTTGACTGTTAAAAGAGGTATCCATATGATGCATTCAGCCACACAGACTGATCAAAGACCTTTCACCTCTTAAATTTTCAGCATTGTTATGTACTCAAATCGGTATGAAACTGGGACAGAGTAATTATAAATAATATCAACAAATTAAAGAAGCTACTAAATAATTGGGTATATCAGTTGAATTGGGTTTAACAATTGTGTATAATGTTGAAGCCACCCTTCACAGACATAAACACACTAAACTGTGTATGAAAAATAAGATCTACAAAATACTAGGGTTGTCCATATAGTAACAGATGCTTTGGCCTGGACCAGCAGTGGATGGGGCCATCTTGAGGTCATTCCTCATTGTTAGTATTGGTTTGGCTATTTTTAAATCAATACAACACTGCCTTTTTCGGTGTTCACTTCTTCCAACCCTACTTTGGCTTTTCATTCATTGGGCATTCTTCATAGTGAGCACCCTCACATTCTCATCATCCCTCTTATATAACCATTTAACTCTAATAAAATAAAATTGTCAAAAACAGCTGGGGGATTTTGATAAGGTAGCCAAAAGATGGTTGATTAAATTCACTAAGTGAGGTATGTAACAAAAAGAATCAATTACAAACAGAAATATACCCTTCTCAAACCATACAATAATTTAAATATCAAATTAAGACTTACTTAGGAGCTAGTAAGTCTTGAATTAGCCTGTCTCTATGTTTAAAGCAGCCTAGGCTAGTGATGGCCTGTAGAACATCTGTGTCCATTTCATCAACGGAGGGGATGATGTGAGTTTGAACCACTTCCATCATTGGCAACTCCAGCTCAAGCTCACCCTTGCCACCCGCAGTCACCCACGGGTGTCGGTTGATCTCTGCCAGCTGTGATCAACGAGATAGCAACAATTTACATATGGACCTAGCAGCATTTGATTATTGGAAGGTCAGTAACAAAGCTGTCATTTCAGTCAATCATCATTCAAACTTCATTTATTATGCCTTAAAATATGCTCCCCTAGTGTGGGCATCATATGAAGTCTAATCTTATAAAATCCTTTTTTATTAGCATCTATACAAAGATTTGATATTTTTTGTACCCTAACACTTACAACAAAGTGGTTATGGGTTAACACTTAATTGTTTTGGGTTTTAAGCATATAGAGATAGAAACCAGTATTCTAATGATCAGACTCTAATCTTTTTCACCGTCTTAGTAGCAAATAATGACTCAAGAAAATATTAGTGATTGCATCACAAAGAATTAAGAAAATAAATACTTTGAATACATACTGTAAGCCTTTTCTCAGGGTTCACTTCGATCATTCCACGCAACAGATTTTGACAATCTGGGGGTACAAAGTGTGGTATGTGAAAGACTCCTCGTTTCACTTTCTCTAGCAACTGGCGTAAGTTGTCATCATCAAAGGGCAGTGCCCCAACAAGAAGAGCATATAATATCACCCCACAGGACCAAACATCCGCTCTCCTGCCATCATATTTCTCCCCCTAAGACAAAAAAGATACGTAAAAATATAGAGTACAGGTGTTATAATATCAGGTAAATACTAGCGATGGATATTGTTTGAAGAAAGATTGGGTTATACAGACCACAAGTTACTGGACTACTGGCCTTTCTGTTTATTGTGACGCCTCCCAACAGAACACTTAGGCTGGTTACACATAAGGCATGTCACACATGAAACCAACCCATGTTATCAAATCAGAGTTTACACACTGCTTGCCACACACATGTCCGTGTGTCACCGGAGGTCGTTGGTTGGTGTTTAGTTGGTGCCGTGCTGGAGGTCAATATTTACCCAACGTTTACAAGAATTCCACCCAACTCTCTGCCCAAAAGCTGGTATGGAAAGAACATACAAATCTTAAAAGCTACCAATTGGTTTTGACATATAGAGTCAAAAGCTAAACCACTTTCAATGAATGAAGGAAATGGTAAGATATATTTACATTTTTATTGTGTAACTAAATTAAAATTAATATTAAGCAATTAAGATATTGCTTTGTCCTGAAATTGGCAATTTGATTGATCAAAAAATTACATCAAAAGTCTTTCAACATTAAATTGAAAGTTAAAATCATAATTTTGCAATAAAATCTGCATTTAGTCTCTTGCATGATTTCTCATTTGATCTAACTATGGCAAAAGCACAATAAGTTATATCGAAAGCGAAATATCTAGTATTCTAATAAGATAACAATAATAATAATAATGTCTTTATTGCTCTTTGACAACTATACATTGTATAGCAAACGTCAATCAATACAAAAAATGCAATAAAAATGATAAAATATAATCACTGTGTAAACTAAGGTCAGAAATTGGGTCTTTTATTTCTAAAATCGATATTATATATATCATCATTAAGATATGTCATTATTCCAAAACAATAATCTTCTACCTGCAATAAATCAATGTTTTAATTCCCAAGTAGTTGATATTTTAAATAAATTAATTTGAATAATTAATATTAATATTTAATATTATATTATAATAATATATAAAATTATTATTAAATATATAATATTATAATAATATTAATATATCGATAATATATAATAATAATATATAATATATTAATATTTAATATTATATTATAATAATATATAAAATTATTATTAAATATATAATATTATAATAATATTAATATATCGATAATATATAATAATAATATATAATATATTATAATATTTATTTATTCATTCATATTTATGAAATGTTTCAAAGCTAAATTTTATATTGAAAAACATAAATCAGAAATAAAATTACTGTGTGACCATGGATCGATGATAATGTGGCTAGTGTACTATGTTTTACAGAAAAGTTACAGATTATATTCCTAATGTATTTTTACGAGTATTTCAAGCTTAGCAGCAATCACAAAGCTTTAACCTGGTATGTTGGCTTTTTAGTGTAAAATTAAAAAATTAGCTACGTATAGGTGCCCACCACTAAATTTTATCAGCTCACTCAAAGATCAACTCTATCGGCTCAACTCTTGCTTTGCTGAGTACGTTCCACACATAAGCCCTTGCTCTTTGTTGACTGGCAAATAAAAGTTCAAAAAAGGCCACCAACTGCTTTTTGGAATCGTACAATATTTGATCTACAATATTATACAAACACTTACCCTTATCACTTCTGGACATGCATAGTGAGGCGACCCACAACTAGTTTCAAGCATGCTTCCCCCAGGCTGAAGGGACGCCATTCCAAAATCAGCTATTTTAATATTATTTTTCTCATCTAATAACAAATTTTCAGGCTTCAAGTCTCTATGACTGCAAAAGATACAAGAAATTAGTGGACTTAATGAATAATATTCTAATCATAAGTTAATTTAAAGTGAAATGAAATGAAATGGAAATGAAATGAAATGAAATGAAAAACGTTTATTTATCCCAAGAATATAAACTAAAACAGAGAGTAGCTATACAACTAACAGTACAATATTTCTAAAATAAAATAAAATTTGCCTTACTTATGGGATAGGCCTACATGGGCAGGTGCCTGTGCGTAGGCTGTTCTCTCATGCCAACACACGTATATTCACAATCATTTAAATTTAGTTAATTATGTTATTCTTTAAATTTTTTACTAAAACTTAAAACGGTGAAATTTAAATCGTCAACCTTTTGTAGCTTTAAAATTGTAATAACTTAATGTTCTTGCATAGAAATTATCCAAAAGTTTATTTAAGAGCTTCTGCATAAACTAATTACTTGAATCAAATATTGCTTATAATACAAAATACACATTAATAGCTAAGTAATGTAGTATAGCGTAGTTATGTTCCAACATTGCAGGTATGGTTACACTTATCCATTTGAAATTTATAATTTCATATTTTAATAGCCAAATAACAAAAAAAAATTGTTTTTACATTACAAGAGAAATAGTTTATTTCATTATTTTTCTTCCTCTAATGTTAATTGCAGTTATCATCTAAAGTTCCAGTTATTTGTAGTCAAGTTAAATATTTTTCCTACGAAGTATGTACCTATTTGTAATAATATTCTATTGTATTCTTGATTGGAATTTTATAAACTATCTAACTAGGCCCATTGAAAATATTAAAATTTCATTAAAAGTATTTTTTCTCCTTTTAATAATTTTTACGCTGTAATCATACAACTCATTTTGCAGTATTAATTAATTATATTATGATAAATGTTCTAAGATAAATTTAGTCCATAGTACAGTTTTTGAAATCTTTGAAATTGTGGAAGTTGTTATACTAAAGTAATTTTGCTCCTTTTAATCAGTTTTTTCTCCTATATTTTCAATTTTGAAGTTATCTATCATTGTACTTGTAAATTTTTATTACAGTGAAGGTTTTGTTTTGTTTTTGATAAGGCTACTTTATTTTGAAACAGCAACTTAATATTTTATTCTCATGCTAGATTTTAGTGGTATAGTATAATCACATATAATATAAACGTGTAATCACGTAATCAATATAACGTGTAAATCACGTATAATAAGTAAAAGTAAAATATTCATTTAATTTAATTAACACACTCATAACATCTAATAAGGGGGTATTTATGTCTAATAAGAATAACTTAGATAATGGTACAATGTTTACACTTTATTATTGGACAGTGTAAAAAATAGCATTGCTTCATTCATGATAAAACTATAATTTTAACCCCCCTAAAATATCATATTATTATGAGAAATATATAAGTGTATGGGGGTAATAGGATTTATTTTTCATCGATAAAACAAAATAAAAATATCCACCTTTGAAAGGTTTAACAAATCTAATTTTCTTGAAGCAGCACCTAGGAGTACTTTAATTTGTTTAGAGATGAATTATTAATTATTCCATATGTCTCAATACAGTAATGGAAATAATAAGTGGGAGGCTATGAGTGGTTAAGACGAGACAAGGGTGGCACATGTGGGGAAAGGGGGGGGGGGGTTCATTGCAATTGACACACTTTGCTTACAGTTATGACTCGCAACATCAAGAAGTATGTTTGGATTTTTTAATTTGCCAAATAAAATGTTCAACTGCTATATTTGTTTGAGAAAAATGATATCTACCTCTATAAAATATATAGTTAACTGGAACAAAACAGAGCTAGACAGCGATGTTCTCTTGACTAAAATATAAAACTAGTATAATAATATATAAAACACCATGTCAGCAAGGACCTCAGTAGCGATGTGTAGACTTAAAGTTGGAACACATGAAAACTTAAGTAATCGGAAGTAATCTGAAGTAAAGCCAGTTAAAATTTAACAGTTTATTTTAGACTATTAGAGTACCGTATTGTTGTTTGTCTTTTAGACAATTGTTATTCAAAATATTATTGTTGTAAACATTTTGATAAGAAAGAAATTGTTTTACAATCATAAATGGTTTTAGAACAAATTGGTTAATTTCAAACTCTCTGACTAAATTTTTCAACCAGATCTCAGATGCTCTTGATGAGTTACAAAATAATACTGGATTATCTTGTGACCCATCCAGGGCAATTGATTGTGTATACAACAAACTTAATGCTTACAATTAAAGGAAATTGGGGTCAAAGATGAGTTTAAAGAAATTGGGAACCATCTGACAAAAATAGGTGCAGTCATTTTCAAAAATAATAAAAACTTTTTGTATGAACAAAATGGTATATGGTGTTCTTCAAGGTTTCAACTTGAAACATGTATTATAAATATTTATTAAATACATTGACTCTCATATAATCAACATTTTATAAATAATCTTTTCTTTATAAATAGGTGACACATATATTATACAGTAACTAGAAAAATATCAAAAGTATCTAATGGTAATCTGAAAGCTATGTTTTTACATTAAAGCATGGTACTGATAGATGGTGTGGTATTCATCAGAAATAAAGAAAGTTTACTCTTCACAAGATTACTTTATTTGTACACTATAAAGTAGTGGCTGACCTCAAATGAGCACAAAAATATATTCTATAAAAAATACAGTTTGAGATACTCACCAAATTGAATGACTATGACAAAAATCTAGGGCGGATATAATTTGTCTGAAAAACCTCCTTGCTTCTTTAGGCGTTAACCTTCCTTTTTTAACTAAATAATCAAAGAGCTCCCCTCCAGACACGTGTTCTAGCACCAAATACCTGGGATAAAACAAATTAAATAAAATATGTTTTTAGAACTAAAATTTCACTTGTTCTAAGATTAATGATTTCCCACGAATGGGAGTAACAATGATGATGACCCCATGGCCCATGATCCCGGGAAAGGTTCACAATTTTACTGTAATCACTGGGGAAGGCCATCAAACTGGGTTGCAGCCACCGTGTCACAGCCACCAGAACTGTAAAATTGCATTGTGTCTTATGGAGCCCTTCACAATATCGGGTCGCAGGAACCCACCTCGGTGGCAGCGACCCAGTCGCCGATGAACTGCATCGCTGGTCGGTGGCTGCCACCATGCTTTTTCACTGACTCAACTCGTAGCGGGCCATTGCAGTATGTACATAGCCACATTGGGTGGCTGCGACCTAGCTCTGGGTGATGCGAGCGCAGCTTGTTTTATCGTCTAACTGCTTTCTCTGTACCCTACACCTGTCTGTTCACCCGTGAGGTCCACTTGTTTGAAGCTGCACACGAACATGTGATACTTTCTTAGTTCGCGACTGTTTTTTTTTTGTTTTTTTTTTAGATAATAGCCCTACAGTAGACTCCCTCTTATCCGGACATCGGTTTAACCGGACTACACTCGGCGGAAATGACATCTCTTTAACCGGACTATTTTTATCAGCACATTGGTTTAACCGGACTAGATCGGCAGGAAGTGGGTAGTACTGAAACGACTGTTCTCGTGGGAAAGATTTGAGACCAGTGATCACGTGTCTAAATACAATGCTCTCATAAATTTAAGTCGAATATCACAGTAAACAGACCGTTATTACGAGTTTTTGGGGACGTCGGTTTAACCGGAAAACCCATTATCCGGACTGGCCTTGGTCCCGAGGAGTCCGGATAAGAGGGAGTCTACTGTATCTATATTGCATTGTTTGGATTAAATTTAATTGCTTGTAAACAATGATATAGATATGAATAGAACAATACATTTCTGGATAATGAAAGTTTATTGTAAGCAGTAGGTAGGCCTACTGAATCTGGTAGTAAACCAAAGAAGAAAGGAAAAGTCTCAAACGAATAAAAAAGTGAGACAAGACGATTTCTCCTTGGAGAATGAATTATATGACACGAAAAAGAGTAACTTTTTAGCGAGACGGTCACAGCCACCTTGTGGTTTTAAAACAATTTTATTTATTATTTTAATTTTAATTTGTCATGTATCATATTAATATTGCACTGTATGTTTTACTTTATTTGAGCTGAAAAGCTATTAATTGATGGTATGTTACGTCATGCATGATAATGATGAGTATTTTAGTTAGTTTTATTCAATCCTGTACTGATATGAATAAAGTTATATTAATTGAATTGAATTGATAGTTATTTTAGGAAATATTTAGAGATTTACAAACCTATTACAGGAGTGTTTATTTTGGTTCCATTTATTTTTCAAACAGTGCTAAAGTTTTAAAACTGAAAGGTGTGTATGCCTGAGGAGGTATTGCATGTATGCAAGATGTTCTCTCTGTTTCGATGCACGATACAAGATAGATCACATTCCTAACTAGCCAATCTGAGATCATGATTAATCTTTTTCAATGATTTACACTGACCAAGTACACTTAAAATGTCTGATTACAGAACATATAAGTTATGATTTAAAGTGAAAAATGTTGGTTATGGTTAAGAATTTGTTTTGGGATGAGAGATAAAATTTTTAGAATATTTAAAAAGAAGTGTTGTGGAATAAACTAAGTCTAAAATAATACAGGGTGGCTGAAAAGTAACTTGCACCCCCCCTTAACTTTTCAACCATTTGAGATATTTGAAATCTGTTTGCGGCAACCTTCTTAAATATGAGGAGCTACAATAATTATGGTCAATTGAGAAAATTTTGCCCTTAGTGGGGGTAGGGGGTAGCTCAAAATTTTCAAATGACAAGTATAGTCGAGTTTGGTATCATTTTACAGGTCTTGAGGAAACATAACTTTTGCCTGTATAAATAAATAATATTTCATTTCATTTCATAAAAATTGACATAAAGAAAACCAAAATCGGCCCATTAATAACAAAATGGCACCCTAAAACGTTTCAAATCCAAATAACCTTGAGGGTGGCTGAAAATTAATTTGCACCCCCTTTAACTTTTTACTATTTGAGATATTTGAAATCGGTTTGCGGCAACTTTGCATGTGAAGGGCTTCAATAATTATGGTCAGTTTTGAAAATTTTGCTTTTGTTGGGGGTAGGGGGTAGCTCAAAATTTTCAAATGATAGGTATAGTCGAGTTTGGTATCATTTTACAGGGCTTGACAAAACATAAACATTAACATAAAGAAAAATAGAAATCGGACCAATAATAACAAAATGGCAGCTAAAAATGATTAACACAATGGTCATTAAAAGTAATTTTGAACTGTCATGTTGTTGTTAATGCTCCGATTTCTATTTTCTTTATTATAATCTTTATGTTTCGTCAAGACCTGTAAAATGATACCAAACTCGACTATACTTGCTGTTTGAAATTTTTGAGCTACCCCCTACCCCCCACTACCCCTAAGGGCAAAATTTTCAAAATTAATCATAATTATTGTAGCCCCTCATATTTAAGAAGTTTGCCGCAAACAGATTTCTAATATCTCAAATGGTTGAAAAGTTAAGGGGGGTGCAAGTTACTTTTCAGCCACCCTGTATAGTGATTGTTTTAATCTATTGTGTTAGGAATAACTCTACAAAATACCAGAAGAACAGATTCTTGGATTTTGTACTTTGATAAAACTTGTCATCTTAACAAGGGTGTGTAAAGGGTGATTCTGTTAGGTTGCCATCTAAATATTGAATTCTACCTACATTGAAGTTTACTTTTAGCGAATTTCTTATATAGGGAATAAGATATTTTGGTTTATGTCTATCAAAATAAATTTAATAAATAATATCCATCAAATAACGCAGCCACACAGATTTCAGCCCTTTTAGTGTTTTAAACTACTTTCTCTTTTAATTATTCTCTTGTTGAAATTCAGGGATAACTCTGTAAATCTATTACATAATTTCTTAAATTATTGAGGGGAGTGAGCTGTTTTAGTGGTTAGAGCGTGAGACTTCGGTCCGTGAGGTTTCGGGTTCCAATCCCGCCAAATCACCAATGGATTTTATCTAAGTAATAATGCCACAATCCCTAGTTCTAGCCTGAAGTAATGTGAACAACAATCCCGGGCTCGTGCTTAGCGTCCTAGGACAAAAAAAAGTCATAAGTTGAGTTAGGCTGGTTTGACTCATCCAGTGGTATGTTGCCGCATGATCTTGCTGGCCAATTTTGATCACTAAAACAATATATTAAGTGACCAGGAAACTTTTTGTGAAGCAAAGCTTGCTGTTGAATATTTTGTCACTGATACACCACTCCGAGGATGTATTGGTCTTTGGACATCTAACACTGAATTAAGACAAAGTTTCCCTCTTGGAAATGGTTTTAAACCCCTTTGTCTTTTAATAACGCTGGTTCCATAACAACAAAATATGTTGCTTAACAACAATGCCGAATTACAAAAATCAGCCGTTTCTATGGCATACAAAAATGGTGCTACCAACTCAAAATTGTAACCTCCTACCTGAAAATACCCTAAGAGTATACACATGCTAACAACAAATAACATTTAGTTCCTTTTTAATAGGATCATAAACATAAAAATGTTCAAGTATTATATTAGTTATCTTCTACAATGTATTGAAAATTTAAAAGGAAAGCAAAATAATTTGTCATTGAAGATGAAAAATCAACCGACTACAGTCAATTTCACAGATACGAGTAGTATCTTGAGACTTGAGACGTCCTATCACTTTTGCTAAAGTCACAAAAAAATTTCAATCATGACAGACTATATAAAATCAGGGACCCAGCGCAGGTCACATATGGAATAACCATGTGAGATAAATAATTGCCACAGTAATTTAAAAAATACTTAAGCTATTATACTTACAAATATTTTTTATTTTCATACACATCTGACAACCCTAGGACATGTGGATGATCTATAAGTTTCATGATAGCAATTTCTCGCTCAACCTTAAACAGAAAAAGTCAAATTACGTATGGATGGAAGGAAGATGAAGGACATTTCTTAGCAAATAATGACTATATTTACTTATCTAAGGTTCAATATGGTAAAATACTAAATGTGTTCTGCTACAAATGGTTGGACTATTACCACACAGCAGTGCTGATTTATAGGATTTTCAGTAGACAATAAATCTCATCTGTTCCAAGTGAATTAACCTTCACTTAAATGATGTCTGTATTGGAAACACATTTGAAATCCTCTATTATGTCACATATCAATTTTTAGTTTGCACATTACTGATCATGAAACAAATTTAAGGTATAAAGTTGAACCATATGACTGCTAGCTTACCTTCATAAGCACCGATTCACTTAGTTTCTCACGATTAATAATTTTGATTGCAACTTTTTTTCCTGTGACACAGTGGATGCCCAATTTAACTAGTCCTGAAACAAAAATTATTGTGAATAGCCAATATACCAAAGAGAATATATATAGTTTCACAAACTTTCATTCCCTTACAGTAACAAGTGTTTTTGTCATTTCTTTTTGTGAAACCAAAAGTAAGTCTTAAGACAGAAATAAAATAATCGTCCATGGTTTATAAATGTTAAATTTCTTCATGCACAACAATGTTGCACCCTTATGGGTATTGCAAATTTAATACTGTCAATGCACAAATTAAATAACTGTTTCAGCACTTGTGTGGTAACAAAAATACTCCCCCACAGCAAACCTACAGACCATGTGAATTTCCATTTGTCTGATTGGATTTTAACTAAAATATGACCTTAAATAGGAAAAGTGGTTTTTCAAATTTTAATATTATAGTACAAAATAAATAAATTTGAATAAAATACAATATATATGTGTGTATCAATTGTATATCCTATTTATACAATATTGTATATCCATAAACAATCAAACCACAACCGTTTACTTTTTCTCCATAATTATAACATGGGAATTTTAAGTTTAGAATATTAAGATTTTTCTCGGTCATTTTAGCGAATTTCCCTATAGGGAAGTAGCTATTACCGTAGGTGGCACGGTAAGACCTAGACCCGGGACCGATTTACTTTTTCATTTTGATGTCCCCAAAGGCCAAAAACACCATTCGTTCAAATTTTTATATATGTATATATATATATATATATATAGACTTATATATATATAAGTCCGTGAACGCGATAACTTGAGTAATTTTTGTCCGATTTTGATGAAATTTGGTTTAAAGGTGTAAAGCGGGATAAACTTGAATGAGTTCGCGAACCAGCATGATCGGACCATGGGAACGGGGCTTTACGGGGGGTTTTATGGGGTAAAAATTGGTTTTTCTCACTTTTGACCCTCAAAACACAAAACTTCCCAATTTCTCTTTAGACCTTTTTAAAGAGCTTAAAAAAACAATTAATTTAGTATATAAAAGTATTTTTGTTCGGTTAATAGTAACGGAGAAAATTAAAAAAATTGTAAATTTAAAATTCCCATGTTATTCTTATAGAGAATATTGTAAAATGTTGTAGTTTGCTTGTTTATGGATATATTTTGTATTATGATCAAATTTATTTATTTTGTACTAAGCTATCAATATTTTACAAAAAAACACACTTTATTAGTTTCCTTGTAGCAGCAAACCTAGGTACTCGTTAAACCTAATGTTATTAAAATATATTTAATTGAAAATCAATTAAGACAAATGGAAATTCGCTTAGTCAGCAGGTTTGCTGCGGCGGGGGTATTTATTGTACAACAATGTTTCAATGTACAAATTAATTGTTGTTTTTTTTAGCTCTACCTACAAGATTGCTTCAATAAATGTTGGGTATTTTCATAGACAGTGGAAATTTAAAAAACACTATTTTTGCAAAAAAAATTCAAAACCCCATAACACCCTGTTCTCATCACCCGATCTTGATGATTCGCAAACTCATTCAAGTTTATTTAATACACATGCATACTAAATTGGGGAGATATTTTACCTAGTGATTCCTTGAGTCAAAATAAAGAGAAAATCAAGAATAACATTTATTTCTAAAATTGCTCCGTTATCCAGATATCTGCCATTTTGTATTTTTTACATAAAAATTTTTTGTTTGAATGTTTTAAAACAATCTTTTGAAACTTGTTATGTATACTAAGGTAGAAGATACCCATGTTATAAAAAAATCCATCTTGATTGGACATAAAATTTTAAAATGGTGGCCATTTTAATTTTGTAAACTTAAATTACTGGCTGATATTATGACAAAATGAAATGGGTTCTTTTATTTGGTATTTTTAATTCCCAATCAAGCAATACCAAGTTCAAAAAGATCAAATAAGAAATAGCTGAAATATTAAGATGTTTAGTTGCCGGTGTATAATGGGGCAAACCTGACTAGTTTAGCCTTATTCTATCCCATTTTACAACTAAAAATCGTAATATTTCAGCTATTTCTTATTTGATCTTTTTGAACTTGATATCGTTTGATAGGGAATAAAAAATGCTAAATAAAAGTAGAATTTTCATTTTTTCATAATATATGCCATTTTGTAGTAATTTAAATTTTGAAAATTAAAATGACCGCCATTTTGTAATTTTATGTCGAATCAAGATGGATTTTTTTCCTAAAATGGGTCACTTTTACCATAACATACATACCAATTTTCATAAAGATCGGTTGAAAAAAATCAAAGATAAAAATGTATATTTAAAAGATAAAAATGGAGGATATCTGGTTAATGAAGTGATTTTGGAAAAATTGTTATTTTTTATTTTCTCTTTATTTTGACCCAAGGAATCAATAGATAAAATATGTCCCCACCTTTATTGAGCACCCTGTATAAAAATTTGAACGAATGGTGTGTTGGGCCTCTGGGGACATAGAAACTAAAATGTTAAATCAATCATGGGTCTAATGGGTCTACTTTATCTAAATGTATTATAGAAACTGTCCCTGATGAGACTGTGGCCAATGTGAATATTTAAAAATCTCTAATTTTTATGAAAGGTTCTAAATAAAATCGATGTTCTAGTTTCTATGAAGAGGTATTTTTCAAAATATATCTCATATATTGTATTTCATAAGTAAATTACGAGACTATGTTACTACTACACCAAGAAACTGAAAATGTTTCTTAGAAATGAAAAAAAATATTGTCAACTGCGTTTAAAAAATCTCCAAAATCTAAATCGGAAATCTAAGTGTATTGTGAAAAATATTTTGCTAAAAGTTATTAATTTCCAAGAATATCTAATCATTGTAGGACTCTTCTGAGATGGTTATAAATTAATTGACAACAAAAATTAATACACGAAAGTTTTTTTTTAATAACAAATTAGTTACGACTTATTTTTAACAGCTTAGCAAATTATAAACATTTGCAAACAGATAAGCTATTTTAACAAAGTGAGATTATTAATTAATTAGTTATTATAATTAATTAATTAGTTCACTAAGAATTCTAAAAATCACAAGCCATGGAAAATTAGCGTTATTTTCTTTACTATTAAAGAAACTCTTTCCATTATTAAGAGATTTCAATTTTGAAAATATGTTTTCATAAAATTATATTCATTTTAAAGTGTAATATTAGAAATATTTTAACATCCTTGAAATATATTGGCTTGAACAAAAATGTCACACACAATTTAGTTTTAAATCAAAAAGAAAATTTTATTACTTGTAATAAACTAATTAAAAAAATTAATGTTCTTATAGAGTAATATTTAATAGGGTTAGTTTGAGAGTTGATGAAAAAGCTTTATTAGGAAAGGAGTGATCCTATTGAAATTGGGATCCAACAATCAAACAACTGAATCCATACCCAGACAAATTGTGTAATGAGCTGTCTATTTTAGGAGCTCTCTGACCAGAGTACCTGTATCACTGAATTGGCTTACTGTTTCCGCAAAACTGATCCCTTTTCTGAATTTACTTTCCTAGTGGAAACAAGATATCCTTAAGTAGTTTGTTCTTTACATAAATATACGTTACCGTACATGATGTAAATGGCAAGCAAAAGAGTGAAATAAGGATATTATTGTTTTGGTTTTTTTTTTTTCATTTCAATCCAACAACTTTCACTATTTCGGTTTAATACTAGTAAAAATACCACAAATTTATTTTAGCTCACAATTATAATTTAATTATTAGGTACAATACTTAGTGATCAAACAAATTAACTAACTAAAGTGGTTTTACTACTCTTGATTTCCTACACAATGAACGAAAACGATTGTTGAATTTACCTTATCCTCATGAACGGGTTATAAGTCTATTTTAAGCTAAATTCAGGAAAAGGTTGTATTTCTTTAAACTGCAATTTCAAACTAAGTAATTTCTACATATATCAGCACATTTCATTGATTTAATAATACAGAAATAGTAAATGAGCGAAGTATGTGTTCAAGAACTATTTTTTCATTTTTTTTATTGTTGATTAACGCAGCCATAGCTAATGATCAGAATCGAAATATAGCTAATTAACTCATTGGTTGATCAGGAGGGTTGGTTTACTTGATTACTGATGTAATCTATCATATGACACATGATACATAAAATAATTTGATGATGACTAATTTCAAATTAATATTCTGACAACCATCAAAAGTAATGTAATGCAGTAAGAATAAAAGCATCGTCAGTTTATACTGTGTTCATAAAATATTATAGATAACACGAGCATTTGTTTGTATTTTTACTGCTAAGTATAGAACACATATTACAAAATAATTACTATACTTAGCAATCCATGTCCATTTTGTTACATTTAGCAATTACTCTTTACATTTTGCTACTCCACTCATTTCTCGCTATATAAATAAATTCCTTAATGAATCTTGAGTTTGTTTTGATACCTATGTACCATTTTTGAATTCAGTGAATATAATTTGTAATGTCAAAGCCTAAGTTAAAGCTATAAGTTTTTTGTGTGGCCTGCAATGTTTCAAAGATACGTTGGTTACAATTTTTTTTACTCAAAAACAAACTGTTCCTAAGATATATCAGGAGGGAACATGAAAATTATAAAAATAATACTAGTTAATTTTAATAGTTAAGATGGCTTGGCATAAAAATTTGTTGGCGAATAAAGCCAAGGCATAAGAAAAATCTTAGTAAGTGAATCTAGTAAGTGAAGTAGGCCTAATATTAAATGTAAAATATATTTTTCACATATTATGTTGGGTGTTTTGTACATTTTATGTTATGTAGATAATACTTTTTTAGCATTTCAAAAATGTTACTAGCCTTTTGACTTGATGCCATTTCCTTAGGCATTTCAATAAAGAATCAATCCAGAACAATGTAACGTGGTTGATATCCCTGGAGCTAATTGGAAAGCTTTCCACCCAGCACGGTAGCCGTAGAGTTTGTTATTTTGGAAATACGAGGATCGCAGAAATTATGTCTCCCGAAAAGGCTTCAGATATCAAATAAATCTACGGAAAATTAATTCTGGC